AACCCCCCCCCCCCCCGTTTCTCTCACGTCTTTCTCGGCCCTCAGCTCCGCCAGGCTTCGCTTGAGCTCCTTCGTCTCCGCCCAGGACTTGTCCAAGGCAGCCTTCTTCGCGGACAAAGCCTCGCGTAGCTTCTCGAGCTCCTACACGACGGCCGGTGTACAAATATCAAAAGGAGGGGTGCGAAAGAGTGAGGGTTAGGTGTGGGTTGGACTCGAAGTACGGCACATATATATGATGTACGGCGGACTAAACACATGTTCACGTGGGGGTTTTGTGGGCGTGGTCATGGTGACGTTCTCGAGCATCCCATTTCACACTTTCGAGTCGTGAGGAACGGTTGCTGCATAGTGCTGAGCCCGAACTCTCAAATTAACGCGGAACGGACGGCAGAGAATTTTTGTGAACACGGTATTCGCGACTCGCGGGGGCACCGCAGAGGTGAGGACGCGTTTGGGGTGGGGTTCCACTGGCCTTCTCGGCGGTATTAAGGCGGTGGGAGGATGCCTGGCTGACCGCCCCCATGGCAGCGAGGCTCTGCGTTTGGCTGGCGCGCTCCTCTTCCTTCGCCCTAAGCTGCTCCCGGAGTCCGGCCAGCGATGCTTGAAGCGCGGTGTTTTCCTGTCAATTTTTCGAGGGTCGTGATTCGCACACAGACCAAGCATCCACAAACAAACGCAACAGGGTTAACGATGTCCGCCTTATCGAGAACGCTACAAGCAAAAGGAAAAACCCCTTTGCAGCGATAGCGTGCCTCGACGGCGACATTAGCACGACCAAACACTAACACAACGATCTACGCTAGCAGACCAAGCCCTACAGTAGTGTAGGTTCCGGGACGGTCTCGTCTCCAATCATCTCCCGTCAAACCGCAAGTAGCATGGCGCGCAGATGCAATGTAAAAAGGGAAAACGTGCTCGAGACACCCAGTGCAACAACAACATCAACATCAACATCAACATCAACACCACCAGCAGCAACAACAACAACACAGCAGCAGCCGCAGTAGCAGCCGCAGTAGCAGCAGCAGCATTAACAGCAACAACAACAACAACAATTATATCATCAACGATGACGACGAGAGCGGGAAGGTTCCGAGTTTATCCGGTCTGTCTGTCTCACCTTGGCCAGCGAGTCTCGTTCCTCCTGGACACCCCTGAGAGCGCCTCTCGCCTTCCTTACCGTCTTTTCCATCTCGCTCTGCTTGAACGCAAGCATGGCCCCTTCGTCCATGTACGCCTTCACGGAAAGCAAAGAAAAACTCGTGTTGCCAATAAGATGAGGGACAAATGGCATGGGTCGACCGATCAAACAAGAGAGAACCGCGACGCACACGACCAGGGGACCGGAAAACAACCACGTATTTTCGGTTTTCGACTGTGCCTTCAGCTCCGAAGGAGGTGTAATGTGAGAGTTTTATAGGTGGAGCAGACGCAGCAGCGGCATGACACCAACAGCACGAAGAAAAAGGGATGGAGAAACAAGTGGCAAGAGCAGCAGCAGCAGCAGCAGCAGCATCAGCCCAAACCAAACTAATCCGAAGCCCAAAAAAACAAAGAGAGCGTGCGTGCCTCTACAAGAAAAAACTCCTTCACCACATCCGGGAAAAAAAGTGCAGCTAAATCAACCTTGCGCAACCATGCCTATGGAAGGATGCACCATGGGTTGGTTCCCGATGTATCGGAAATTTGAACGCAGCGCTCTGCTGGTGCTCTTCACCTCATGACCCACCAACAAACGCACAGCTAGCCGCTGCCCATCAAAAACAAGGTCCGCAAGACGACATGACGAGCACCTTAAGCATCTTGTCCTTCTCCTCGAACTCCTCCGCCTTTGTCTCCCACGACCGGACCGCGTCCGCCGCCGCCTTCCCCTTCCTCTTCTCCGCCTCGATCAAGCCCTCCAGCCTTGACACCTCTCGCGCGTGCCGATCCCGCAAGTCCGCCACGGCAGCCGCGCCGCCGTCGGAGCCGTCGCCGGCGCGTCCCGCCTTACCTCCGTTTTGCATGATCTCGGCCATGGCGAGGTTCGTGGACTCCAGCTGGCGTTCCCGCTCGAGAAGGAGCTCCTCCGCTACGAGCAGCCTTGCCATCAGGGCGTCCTCGCGCTCTCTGGCGGCGGCGGCGGCGGCGGCCAAATCTTCCCCGCCGGGCGCCTCCGTTTCTGTGTCTGCCGTGCCACCGGCGACGACGGGCGAGGCTTCGGGTGTCGCCGACCCCAACGACTTGGCATCCTCCGCGGCGCCACTGTCTGTGCCGTGGTCTTCGGCTTCGACTTCGTTTCTGACCTCGTCCGTAAGAACGCCTCCATCGCCGTCCTCCTCCCCTTCCTCGTCGCTCTCCGCCAGACCGCCGGCACTACCACCACCACCATCAGCATCCCCGGCCTCCTCGACCGAGCTCCCCGGCGCCTCATCCTCCGCCACGCCCGCCTCTCCTTCGAAACCCGCATCCGCCGACTCCGCGCTGCTGTCCTCCGCTGGCTTGTCGTGTTCGGTGGCGGCCGCTCCGGCATCGCCTGTGTCTGCGGATTCGGCGTCGGGGTCGACGGAGGAGGCCAGCGGGACCGTCGGCGGCGCAGCACCCCGTTCTTCGTTGGGCGACTGTTCTTCTCCGGCCGGCGACGATGATATCGCCTCAGCTTCTTCTTCCCCCCCCCCCTCCTGTTCGCCAAGGCCTTCATCATCCCGGGGCTCGCTACCCTCTTCGTCCTTTGCCACTGACGTTGACGACGTACCCTCAACCGCTTCCCCCTCCTCCTGGGCTGCCTCCGCCGAACCGGCACCGGAACCAATCAGCACCTCCTCCTCCCGATCTTGGGGCTGCTGTGACTCACTCCTTTTGTCGTCCTCTTCCTGGTCATTTCCCGCCTCCCCAGGCTGCAAAGACTTCCCGCCCGCGTCGTTGCCGCTAGTGTTGCCCACTTCCTCCGCGTCGTCCGTCTCTTGCAGCACCGCCCACGGTGACGGTGACGGTGACGAATCTTCTTCTGACGGAGGGATCCCTACATCATCACTATCGTCGCTTGCACCGTCTATTCGACCGGGAGACGATGGCTCGGCAGCGCTCGCCGCGACAGGAAGAGCTACACCCGGCGTTGCGTGCGGGAGCTCGGCAGCATCACTCCCGCCGTTGATCCCGTCTGCGGTAGCAGCCTCCGAAAGCCCGCCCGCGGCGGGTTGACATTTACCCTGACTTTCCACATCCTCGTCGCTGTCCTCCAGAGCTGGTTGTGCCAGGTGAGGGAAGAGGGTTGAGCTATTCGCTACTTTGCTACTGGAATCGACAAAACATTTAGCCTGCGGAAACACACACAGGGTGCCATCCAACAGATGCGCACGGGGATCAGGGCGACGGTACACAATAAATATTGCGCAAGCAGCCGTGGTACCAGAGCCAGGAGCAATGACGGCGCAAGAAGCAGCGGCGGCCACACGACGGGGACTGATGCAGAAAAAAAAAAAAGAGAGCACGTCGTTCGTCATAGCTGGAAACGGCGGTGGAAAAGGAAGCACCAGCGGCGGGCTCACCAACGCCGAGAGCGCGTTGCGGGGGGACGTACTTCAACCACAAGAGTGCCACTGCAAATTGGCTGAGGGAGAGTTCTCAACATGCTCAGATGTACAGAAAAAAGCATATACTCTCCGCTCCTGCCGGCGCAAGGGCCGCCAACACCGAGCGACCAGAATACGCAACTCACATACGTCTCCCCACCCTGCCGCAGCGCCAACTCTGTCCCCAGCCGATTCAGCCAACCCGTCCACTCGAGGCGGTGGCGGCCCCTCCTTGGCGGTATCCGGCATAACCCCCTCGCTCTCGCCGATCCCGGCCGTGCAGCCACCGCCAGTCACTCCAAGAGACGGCGGAAAGGCGGCCGTGGGAGCATGGCCGACCTCGCCCCCGTCATGTGGTCCGTCGTCCACGACAGCGGTCGCTCCGAGCTCCAAGGGAGGCAAGGTCAGAGCACCTTCCCCGGCGGCAGGGGCGGCGGCGACGGTGCTTGCGTCGTCGGTACCATCCGTGACGTTCGCGGGGACCCCGGAAATGTCCGGGGACGTAGGCAGGCGCCTCACGCTGCCGGTACAAAAATTGGCACAAACAGACTTAGACGTTATTCCTAGTCATGTGGGGCGCTCGCATTCTGCGAACATGCTAGTCTCATGAAGAGTATACCGGAGATGTCGTCAGTGCGTAGCAGGGGGGGGGGGGGGGGGGGGGGGGGGGGGGGGGGGGGGGCTAAAGGTNGGGGGGGGGGGGACGCTGCGAATAGCGCATAAACTGTTGGTGGTGGTTATCTCGTAACGCAACAACAGTTTAGCTATACAGGATGCTTTTCCACCGCAAGTACTTTGACCGGTCGAAGCTCACCGCGGGCACCAAAACCACACCGAAACCGAATATCAAGGGCCAGGGCGTAGAACCCAAACGCACCACATACTTGCCCAGGCCTCAAACCGCACAACAATCAATCAACACCCTCCCAAAAACATCCCCATTCCTATGTGTGATCCTTATCCTGTCTGCGTGATCCCGACCGACGCGTCAGACACACCCACCAACAGGTGTGAACCATGGACTGGCGCCAGAGGTAGATGTCACGAACACACGCACATCATAGCACGTACCTCGGCTTCTCGCTATCTTTTCCGATGGCCGCACCACCGCCTCCACCGCCTTCAGCGGTCTGCTTCTTCTTTATGGCCCTCTCGCGCTTCAGCCGTTCGCGCCGCTGCCGACCCGTCTCCGCTCTACCCGCCCCCCCTCCGCTCATACCCCCAGCAAGCGTTGCATCCGGCGGAGCCCCCAAGCGCGACGACGTTCGGGGAGGCGGGGATGGCGGTGGCGATACCCCGCTTTCGCCGGCATCCCTGCAGGAGGTGAAAATTGTTCGGTGTGGCAGGCGACGCGGTCGAAGCGGGGTAAGGGCAAAAATAATCGCTGGTCTGTGTGTGCTTGTCGGTGGGGATAACTCGGGGTGTGTGTTGGCAAGAGAGTACAACACATATTCGTCTGAGGCGTCGGCATTCTGCTAATCGTGCCATCGGTTCAGGTATTGTCTCCAACGGCAACTTGGTCGCGTGCTTCACACGCACCATACGTTGCATCCGGTACGAGAGCAAATCGGCCCGAGGGACGAGCTCCCGTGTGCCTTAATGCCGGACTGCAACCCCTTCCTCAAAAGCGGTGCTAAACACGACACTGTGAGTGCCGCATACCCGCGTAGCATGCTTCGCCACGGAGGGGTCGCATGCACATCGGTTGCCCATCGGCAATACACAACGAGACACATGACACAACTAGCCGTCTGGCCCAAAACGAAATACACAATGCAACAAGCCGTTCGCCACGGGCCAGACGGCCACAACGCTGTTTTCTCTCACCCCGCAAGCCCGCTCGAAGAAGAGCCCCGCCGCCCGCCCTCGCCGCTACCGTAACCCCCGCCTCCAAGCTGCAGGCCGGCCACCCTCGCCACCGGCGAATCATAGGCTCCCTCGGACGGTATGCCCAGCGGCGGCGGAGCGGTCAGCGACATCCCTCGCGCCCCCGCCGATCCCCCTGCTGGGCTGCCGGGCGAAAAATCCTCTCCATCCTCGCCCGCCAGGCCCGGGCCGGCGCGCACGACCACTGGGCCGGACTGCTGCATTGCTTCGTCCATCTGGGCCTCGAGGCCATCCTGGGGGAAGGTGCGAGGGGGAATAAGCGGGGTGTTCAACTTGAGGTAGCGTTTCCCTTTAGCACATATGGTGCACACCAGATATCCTCCCCTGTAACCGTGGGTCACCGAGCTGAAAACTGATAAACAGAAAAATGCGGACATGGGCCTACAGCATTGAAGCCAAACCGACCGCTCGCACAAAAAAAAGAAAAGAAGCTATACCCCAGCCCCTCGGTCCACGGCAGGCCACACCCCAGCGGGCGCTTTGGTGAAACCGTGGGAGGTTGCCACCAGTGGGGTGTTACGCCGGGTTAGCTATTTCTTTTTATTCCTGTCCCATGGAACATATGTGACGAATGTTCCCCGGCCCGAAAATAATCCAGGTTCGGTTTCATGGCCGGGAAGGACAGGTCCGGGGATCCCATTTTTCCGGGGCTGAAGCGGGGTCAAGCGCATGTTACTCGTGCGAAATACCATGACCTGTAGCAGTCCTGGGCGCTCGTGCCTCCCCCACGGCAAACGTGGTCTACGGATAGCGAAGCTTTTGGTCTAAAGGTCAGCGTGGTGCGACCTCTTATTGAAGCAACCCGGAAGACCTCTAGCTTGAGTTCGGAGCAGCCGGCATTCGGACCCTGCGGTTGTGCCACCTTGGTAGCCTTATCCGATAGGAATTGAGGCAAGACGGAAAACGGTTTTAGCGAGATTTCAACAAGATGATCATCGTGACCATTGGCCAACAAGAACCCTTCCTGCAATCACGCTTTTCCAGGTGGGAACATTGTCAGCATGCTTCCTTGTCGTACCAGTTGATTTACCCGCACCACTTCTCTACATGTGCTGACGATGCCCTTCACTGGCGATGTTCTACCATGTGGACGCCATCGAGATGGATGTCCTCAACGAGCCGACAGGGGCTGGATGCGTCATCCAACCAACACAGTTGATCCGCCTCGATTTCGAAAGTTGTCGAACACTGCGACGTGTTCCTGTGACGGCAGAATGATACAACACACGACACAACAGAGGGTTTCTCCCCGATACTTTCGTCATTGCCCCAGTAGACAGAAGAACACTACGGGGGAGATGTCTCGTGATGTTTTTACCAAAACAGCAGTGTTAGGTTACTGGCACCTGCTGGCATCACTGAGAAAATTCAGTAAGCCATAAATAGACTTGAAGTAAGCCCAGAGCCCACCCGGTTTCCCTCCACTCATTGCAAAGACTCCAACAGCCCCCCTTCGAATGTGGTTATCATATCTCGAACGGCTAGTCTTTTATGCGTTCGTATATACTTTTTCTAAAACTTGAGGTGGCTTCGCGTCGCGGCGCTCTCCGTCGGACTAAATAAAAAAAAAGGCATGTACAGGTAGGCATGTACTGCTGTGTGTTTGCTCGTATCAGGGGACGCTGTACGCCGTACGTATTCACCTCCGCAGGTAACAATAAAACATTGTGCCCTGCATGCTTTGGCCTCGTGGGTAAACGTAGCCCTCACACCGGTTGGGCTCGTAAGCCTGTGGCAGTACTATTTACAGCAGTAGGTGCCGAACGAACCCTGAGGCAGGTGTACACTGGTGTTCGCTGGTTTTGAATGTACGAGAAACTTGTTCTATTGCTACAGGTGTAGAGATGCCACCAAACTACGATCCGTCACGAGTCTGTATTCACACGCTTTCGACGGCATCTCGAGAATATGACGAAGCTTGAGCCCGAGATAGCCGCGGCAGCTCGCTCCTTCTACTACATGCCCAGTTTGATGTGGCAGAGGTTTGCAGGGTTTGAGCTTGCCCGGAGGGCGGAGCATCTTAATTTAGCGTGCCCGCGCATGAAGTTGTTCCCTGTTCATGGCTTAGATGCCCTCGAGAGAAAGAGAGAGAGAGAGAGAGAGAGAGAGCAACACGACACGACTTACACAGAGGATCACAGCAACAGCTGGGACAAGTTTCACTCGCAATGGCCAGCGAATTGCAACTGCGGAGCTGCTATGATGCTGCGCTTGGCTTGCCCAGCGCACACCATGCCCGACACCAAGCACTTTCAACAGATACAGGGGCAAAATGTGCCTAGATGCATATTTCATAACAACGAAAGACAGCTATTCCACAGAGTAGGCGCACCTTAAGTTTCGCAGCTGCATCGCGGATCGACCCTAGGTTTAGCGATCCCCACATGCCTTTCGGGTTCCCGCTGCTGGGTGGATGTGCGCACCTTGTTCCCAGCCTCTCTCATTTCGTACCGCAGACCAAAAGACGAATATAGGGGGCCCGACAGATTACAGATTCGTCAACGGAGGGGGTTTCGTATTATTCTTTCGTCTTCTTTGTTTCAAACAAACATGAAACATGAAACCGTCATGATCTCGAGCTATTTTCAATATTTGACGATATGAAGGCGGGTTCGCACGGGCCGGGCGGGAGCACCACACCTCCTCTACAGTGGAGCTGTATGTCATGCGGCACGATCCGCCGAGCTCAGCGTCGTTCATCAGGATACTAGCTCATCTCCTCCTTCCCTACTGACCAGCGCGTTGGAGAATGCAAAGCGACGCCCAAAGGTGGTACCGACCACATCTTTCCGGCAAGCGTTGCTGCAATGGCCGGCCTTTCGCATTGGCGGGGGTCGTGGCTTCTACTACAGCCGCGGCAGAATATTTCGCGCGGTCGGGGAACATCGGCGGGAAGCAAGCCACCACGGTGAGGCCCATGGTAGTGGTCATACCCGAACGCAACCGCCCTGGAAAATTGAAAGCAGTTCTCCCTCGACACGTGAAGGACGCTGGTGAGGCCGACGTCGGGCGCAACCACGTGGCGATGTTTTGGAGTCGGGCTGGCAAGCGCGCAGCCCCCATACTCATATCGTGGTGGTGTGCCCTTGTACTTTCGCTATTGGTACTATTGCCACCTACGTGTGGCGTGGTGGACCTTACTCTCTATGGCGGGGCCTTCGATTCGTCGTCAACGATAGCGTATGCCGAGGTAAGCAGTGTGCTCTGTTGCACACAAAAGTACCTCCAACATGTAGTCTATTGCAGCACATGCGTGTCAGTTCAAGCGCAGAACTCAAGATATGGGCACGGGCAAACACCATTATTGCAGAATGACTGCTAACTCGCGGGCTATGTTTGCGAGATGGATGTGTGCGCCAGAGTATTGCAGGTGAAAGAGGTTTGAGCAATGTATTTGGGCGCCTTCAAACCCTACAATGTAGTCTAGACTACACAGCCAGATAAAGCAGCCCTAGTCTATGATGTAGCAAGTATTGCGGCGTGCGCCACACAGAAGTGAAACGTTGCAACGCAGACTGATCACTTTAGTCTACGTGTTGAGTCGTTAGGGAACGTTTGGGTAAGACACCCGTTGGAGCGTACCTACTATATGTGGCCTACGCCGCACCAACTTTCCAGCTGGTGGGCTTGCAATGATGCCACCCTTTGGGTACCGCCATTTGCTACGTTGTCGATGCCGATACCGACGACTATCATACTACACAGTCTACAACTTTCTCAGCGAAACTGTTTTCAGGAGATCCGGGATGATATTTTCGTGGAAACTCCGAGCTACCAACGTCTTGAGCACAGCGGGTTGCTGGATACGTATCACATGAACTACTGTAAGAGGTATCCGAGGATTGTTCACCACTTGTGCGCGATTACCACAATGGTGCGCAAGATCTCCCAGAGCGACCAAGAGGGGGCGAGGCGAAGGGTGGGAAGGGCGGGGGGGGGGGGGG